AGAGCCATTTTTTCCTCCTTTATTAAGGCTTACATAATTCATTTGATAATTTTGATTTCTCATTGTTTGTATAGAAGAGAAGAAACGTAAAAAATGATTATACTTTTTGTAACTTCATCTTTCACTAAATACAAGACCCGTTGGAAGAAATTGCGACTAATATACTACTCATAAGTGGCATCAATCCGACGTTGTCCCTCCTCTGAAGATATTTCCTAAAACGGGCTATCACCTGCATTCTCAAAAACCCTGTAAAATTAAACTTATAAATAAAAACTAAAATTTCTTATTAATAAATCAATGGGGTACGCCTAACTATACTATCAAAGAAAAAACAAAGAATAAAGTAAAATATTTTTTGTAAATCATTTAATTTTCATTCAAATTTACATTTCCATCAAGTTTTTGGAGGCATGTAGTCAGTTCTAATTTTCCCATTGGGCGTAAAACTATTAGTGCATAGTCTTTCTTATATTGGAGCCAAACTACATAAATTAATCCTTTTGGAACCTTTATTCTAAATCTTACATCTTGTATACTCTTAACCTTTTAACTTTAATCCATCAAACACTGTTGATTTATCATAGGTCATAACGTGTTAACACTCTATTAAAATTGTTTAATTTGGTCACACACTCATTTAAATTAAGCAAACACTATATTCTAAAAACAAGGTTTTAAAATTTATTATAAATAATTCACTTCCTAACAAGTTCATATTAAACTACTATTAGAGTTTTTGATATTTTACAGAATAAACTTAAAAAATCCTTAACAACTAACTTAATGATCAAATAACTCAATAAGATGATGTGTAATATCATCCCAAACTTTATTTATTCCACTGAGTGTCATTATAATAAATCCATCCCAAAGTTAAGCGGCTTCCGTACATACTTAAAATTACACCAATCCAACCGGAGTTTAACGCTATTTCAGCCGGCTTTTTCTCCACTGCTTCGTTCCACAGAACATTATCGAGAACTCTTCTTCAAAATTATTTGGAATTTCGTACAATGTAAAAAAGCAAATTTTTCTACAACAACAGGCAAACTCTCCTCACTGATCGTGATGGGAAATTTGATAGCTTTGCTTTTGAATAGTTAGCATGATATGGCCACTTTCTTGCTCACTAAAATCTAAATTCTCGGCTTGAACCTGAACATATCGGCACCAACTCAACAACGGTTTTGTTTTGTGAACGAAAACTAAAAGCCAATGGGCTTCCTCTGGCCTCAATTTAACCAAATGAAAGGCTTCATCAAAAACCTCCTTTGCTTTTTCGCCTTCCATCTTTTATAGTACTAGATCCATGAAATATCTGTTCCTGTCGAAGAAATAAACACACACAAAATAAGAAAACTCGAATCCTCCCTCCCAAGGCCGAAACAAAATTACCACATCGTAGGCAACCATTCAACCAATCTGGGTAACATGCCCCACAATACAATCTCTTTTCGCCTATCTCGCAGTTACGTCCCGATTCCTTATTCTTGCAAAGCTTCGGGCCGAAGATTCCCAACTCCGGTTGTTGGGTTTCATTCCCGCCCAATTTAGCTAAAACGACATCTCTAAAGACGACCCCAATGAATCTTGTACTTTCTAGCCGTCCTCGAACTCTCAATGTCCTGCTAGAATAGACCACCTTTTCCTAAACGCGGTTGCACTGATATTGCCCTTTCCCCTCATGGTGCTTACTGGAGAAATATACAGAAAAGTTTGCGATACTTGAGCTTTTAAGCGCCCGCAAGCGCGGTCCAATCCTTTTTGGCCTATGTTAGAGAAGAAGAAGTTGCCTCCGTTTTGGTTAGGCCCCGATCGGGGAGTCCTTATCCACAACCCCACCAACCTAAGCAAGATGATTGGACCTATACTGCAAATGATGTTTCCTCCTGGCCGGCTGCGCTGGAAGAGAACTTTTCGGGGAAGGAGGAGAGTCATCGATAAGAAATGCATTTTGAACAAGATGCTCATGATAACCAGGATTTGCTTGGCGATTTAGCTTGGAGATTATTTTTTCCTTCTATGGAGTTTGCTAACACAGCTTAACCGGGAAAGTTGAAGTCAAAAATCTATCAACAACACTTTTCAGACGTTTTTGAAACCCGGCTCTTTGACAGCGTAATAGCTGAACATAGCCAATTCCGACAAGGAAAAACAGAAGCAAAGAAAGATTAGCTAGACCCGTTTTACCTTTGATATACAGCAAGACAACGGCCTCCTTCAAATCTTCTGATTTTGCCCCTATTACACCAATGGATACGTTAGGACAGTATCTTGGTTAGTAGGTTATAGGTTTTTAATTCTTGACTAATTTTAATAAAGTCATTTACAGTATCTTGTATACTAATCTAGTTGCTACTGGTATGACAGGATATGTTTGCTGACGGACAACTGGGATACGACCTTTTATAATTCTCTGGATTGGGCCAATGCACAGAACCTAAATCGATGATCCAAGAGTTATGAAAAAGCAGCACAAAAGGAACGTTCACGAAGCATTTTGTTTCGGAGGTTACGAAACCCGCGTTCTGCAGGAAGCTGATTTGCAATCAGTGCAATATCTGAAAGGTTGTAATTCAAAGAGGTTTTCCGACTAACATCCCCCGGTCCCAGTTTTAACGTGCCAAGAGAATCATTAGAAGAAGTTTGTGATAGCAATGGGGTCATGATATTCCCAGCTAGAAACAAGCGACTTTATATCAATGCGATGGGCGAGTCCAAGAGACATCCAACCGAATATTGCGGAAAACCCGGATTTTTCGAACGCGGAAAGAATTTACTGATAGCACTAATAGACTATAAGGGGCAGGAATTTTGAGTTTATAGCCATGTTGGAGCTGGGTAGAAGAATCTGCCGCAGGCATTGCATTCTGATCCAGCCAGTTTGGTCTGAGCTCGCTTTTTCAGCTCAACTACTCCCATAAGCTTTTGATTGGAACCTTCCTGCAGGACAGTAAAAGCCTGATATAGATAATACCAGAAGCTTTGGGCGATATCAGTGCACACGACAACTGTGCATCTGCATGTCATTGCCAAAACCTCACTTTCCACTAAGCCCAACGAAATGAGCAAACTGCCACGTTAATAATCTGGTAATTTAAAGTATTAGCATGCCTGTTAAAAATCAAAAATGTATTTTTCGAGCTTTGATGCGAACCTCTCTCCTATTTATCTGTACGATTGGGAACTTCCTGCAGGAGTAAAAGCCACTGATATAGATAATACAGAAGCTTTTGGCATATCAGTGCACAGAACTGTGCATCTGCATGTCATTGCCAAACCTCACTTTCCACTAAGCCAGAAATGAGAAATGCCAGTTATAATTGTAATTTTTAAAGTATTAGCATGCTGTTAAAATAAAAATGTATTTTGAGCTTTGATCGAACCTCTCTCCTATTTATCTGTACTTACTCCACATTTACCTCTAATTGCATCTTCCACTTACAGAGCTCAATTTCTTCATTTCTTGTCATGTCTTATCATGGATTCTTGTTTTGCTGTTGTATGGCTGCTATATGTCTATATCCAATTTTACTGGAGAAAGCTACCCACACTTGTTAATGTTTTCCTTCAGTATGATAAGAGTATTTTCTTTCTTTCTTTCTTTGGTTCTCTATGCAGTTCTCTTAACTACAGCCACGTGCATTTCCATGTGCTGATAATATTTTCATTTATTGGTCTAAAGTTGCATTTAAAATGTCTTTTTCTATATCCATTTTCTCGTTTCCAGTCTAAGCCTATTATTCAATTTCTATTTAATTTTATAGGCATTTCATTTGGATTGATTAATTTCAATTATATCCATCAGCCAACCATTAAAATTCTCTTGCAGTTAAAAGAAACAAATAGGAAAAAGTTTCAATTTATACCATGAACTTGGGTTAAATGTACAAAATACCCATAAACGAACTTTTGGGTAAAAAAATCTATGAACTTAGGTATTTTGTTCTCACGGGCCCAATTTTTCACTAAGGGTTAAAGTGTGTACCACACGCGATCAACAAAAATAAATAAATCAATTAAAATTTTTTTTCTCGAGTAAATAGTAACAGTAACTATTTCACTTAGCCCAATCTCCTTAGCCAAAATTCCCAACTTCAAACTTATATCCCTAAATCTATTATCTGTTAAACGAAATCTACCAAGTTGGAGAAGGAAAGCGACAGAGAGAAAGAAAATGAGTTATGCTACTCGAGTTTCGAGAGCGAGTAATCATCGAAGCAATCCAATTCACAGCCAGAGTAGATTAGAAGGGAGTGAATCATATTGTATTTGTGGGTCGAAGGCTCGTTGAATTTCTTAGAGCGAGAAGAACATAGGTAGAAGAGTTTATTCCTGCAGATTCTTAAAGCTAAATGTGAATTTGTTCTTTTTGTTAATCAACTTCTTTTGTCATTGATTCAACAATAAGCATAATTCCATACCCTTTTCAATCTTCTTAATCTTCCTTTTGTTATTAAACATTTATTTAAAAAATTTTGTGATTTTCCAGCTAAAGGAATGTGACTTGTTTGAATGACATGACCCAAAAATAGACCCAGAGAGCTACATATATGATTAACCAGCTGAGTTCCAATCAAATCTAGATCCTCCATTCCCTAAGAACGAAGGTCTACCATGCAGCAGAAGTTTGTTATGTAATCCTAATTCAAGACCATGGACAGGGAGATGGAATCACTGACAATGGACGTAAGAGAACAAAAAGGAGTATAAAAGGGCAAAGAAAAGGGAGTTCTGATTGGTGTTTGCTTTGTGTTTTACATTAGCTGTGTTGATAATCATTTTGTTGTATTGAAGCTTTTGTCTTTAGGAATGTTAACAAAATATTGTAGTTAACAAAAAATAAGCTTTTGTGGTAAGTTAACAAGATTAGCTTTCAATCGCTTAGGTTTAAGTTTGCTTTTCACGCATGGACGTGGTGAAAAATTGAGTAAATGAGAATAAAATACCAAATTTATAAATTTTTTAATCCATGGGTTTTTTTGTTCTTTTTAACCCAAGTCGAGGTACAACTTGAACCTTTTTCCGAACAAATATTGGAGCACTTCATGGGATTTTTTTAAATTCTGTACATCAAGGATCAACCGGCGGAGAATTATCTAGCACTTGGATTGGGGCTGGCTGGCCCTTAGTTTTGGAACATGAAACATAGCGGCAGCGCGGCACTTTTTTCCCTCAAATAAAACGGCATCGTTCCGGAGAGAAGCGATCGTTTAAAAATGCATCTCCCAGTCTCAGAGTTCGGTTTCTTTTTCTTGCGCCACCACTCTGCAGTCTGCACCTACAAAGGGTACGGTTATTTGGCTTAGTTTAAGGAAAGAAGAAAAGATAAATGGGAAAGAAAACGAAGAAACCGGGAAAAGGCAAAGAGAAAACAGAGAAGAAAACTGCGAAAGCTGAGGAGAAGAGAGCTCGCAGAGAGACGAAGAAACTCTCTCCTGAAGATGACATTGACGCCATTTTGGTATAACTAATCAATTCCTTTTTAAATGCTTAATTTCCATTTAAATTTAGTGGTTTATGATCGATTAAATTTAGTTACCTTAGCAAAAAGTTGGAGTATGCGGTTTATGGAATATCAATTAAAGGACATTTCTAGGTGAAGACGCTGCGTCTCGGTTGTGGAATAATGGCCTTGTTGAATAATAACTGAAGCAGTTTTAGCAAGTGAAGCAATGGAAAAATTGTGTAGTTTACTCTTTCTGTTTTTTCCTTTTCTTGTTTTTTCTTTCTCCTGCAGTTGAGCATACAAAAAGAGGAAGCTAAGAAGAAGGAAGTCCACGTGGAGGAAAATGTCCCTGCTCCGTCCCCTCGGTCCAATTGTACGGTAATATTCTCCTGTGATTGTTGCAATTCTTAATTGAGATGGTTTATCATTCACTATTGTCCTTATAACTTGGATGCGTTCTTGTGTTATTGTATAGTTAAACATTAATCCATTGAAGGACACTGAGTTAATTCTTTATGGTGGTGAATTCTACAATGGTAGTAAGGTTAGCTCTCAGGAAATTTTAATGTTATTCCATGAATGTTACCATTTTTTTTCTTGAAGTGAATGAGTGTTGTCACTTTTATTTAAATAGATTATGGTGATGTAAATCATTGCAGACATTTGTATATGGTGATCTTTACCGTTATGAGGTGGAAAAACAAGAATGGAAGATGATTTCAAGCCCCAATAGTCCACCTCCTCGTAGTGCTCATCAGGCAGTTGCATGGAAGAATTTTCTTTATATATTTGGTAGATTCTTTAATGCAAAATGGAAAAAATGGTCCCTGATATTTTTCTCTTTGCCTTAGCAATATGCTTATAAGTGCATTTGTTTGTTAATAGGAGGTGAATTTACATCCCCAAATCAGGAGCGGTTCCATCACTACAAGGTGAAACTTGTGTTATCTTCTTCTTCTATGCTTAATTTCAAAGAAGAAATAGTTTGTTTTGTTCTGGGCTTTAAATAGCCAAAAGTAATATTTGCAACCATTACACTTAGAATGAGTTTTTTTTTTTTTTTTTTTTTTTTTTTGCCTCCTTTTTTTTTTTTTTTTTTTGCCTCACAGGACTTCTGGGTCTTGGATCTGAAAACAAATCAGTGGGAACAGTTAAACTTCAAAGGCAGTCCTAGTCCACGTTCAGGTCATCGAATGGTTAGTACAAGTCTTCTCTTGATGTGCTTATTGCTTGAGTAGAAAGGATGTTACATTTGTGCATCTCCACTTCTTTCCTTTCATTTTATTGATTGATTAAAATACTCTGCCGTTTCTTAATTTATGTGGATTCTTGATATATGCTTAGTACTGGATGCTTGGGATGGTTGGCACTTGGAATAGCCTGTATTTTCATATATTAAGCAAATAGTTCTATCTGTATCATGGTAATGCTGATTGACTAGAATAAAAGATATTGAAAATGGATCTTATAAGAACTGACTTTCAAACAAAATTTGGTTGGAAAAGAAGAGAAAATCGACAAAGGTTAGGAATCTTATTTGATACTGTTGATTTGGTCAAACAAATTAAAAAGTTACTATCTCAGATGATTTAACATTTATCATGGTGAAGATCATTAAAATATATGATATATAGGTTAGAAACTTGCATGATTTTGCTGCAGGTATCCTGTCATTCCTGTGACATTTATCATGGTGAAGATCATTAAATGATATGATATATAGGTTAGAAACTTGCATGATTTTGCTGCTCATATCCTGTCATTCCTGCTTGCTTATCTTCACTGAACATATGACGTTTTACAACTCATTTGAACTTTTCTCCTCCATAGGTTAGAAACTTGCATGATTTTGCTGCTCATATCCTGTCATTCCTGCTTGCTTATCTTCACTGAACATATGACGTTTTACAACTCATTTGAACTTTTCTCCTCCTGCCTTTTGGGTTTTTTTGCAGGTTTTATACAAGCACAAAATTGTTCTTTTTGGTGGCTTCTATGACACTCTTAGAGAAGTGAGGTTGTTGATCAGTTATCATAAAAACGGCTTATTGATTTTTAACCAATAAGTTATTTGCGCATGTCATTTATGTTATCCATCTACTTGAATTATTATCTACCTTGTCCCAAAACATTACGCGGAATTAGTTTCAAGTTTATTGTGGTGTAGTGCTTTCCTGGGCCTATTTACTGTCCCTCAAAGGACTTCTGGTCTATGTATTTGTTAGTCGTTTTATGGTTGCAATGAAGGATGATTCTTACAGGTGAAATAAGTGTAGTTTAGATTAACTATAGAAAAAATTCACAATCTACAAGTTTTAGTTATGGTTAGTTTGAAGCATGTGATATGTTGGACCTAATTTCCCTGGAGAATTTTCTGCGCATTAAGCATACTGGCATCTGAATTAAGATACTAGATGAGCTTTATATTGGAATGCTCATTTAGCTGGCACTGGAGAGAAAGATTGGTAACAGTTGGAGTTAGGGTTCCAGTAAAAAGTTTTGATATGCTGAAGGGATTTTTTTTTCCCCTCTCTTTCAGCCTTTTAAGTTTCATCCTTATTTGAGGAGATTAATACTTATTGGTATAATCAAGTCATGTAATGTCTGTGGGTTGTTTAATCAGTGATGATAGATTGTTCTCTGTAAAGGCCCTCTCCAAAATTGCTGTATTCTTTCATAATAGGAGATTGATTGATGGGTGCTTGCAAATTTGTAACTCAGAAAATAAGCAAAATATATCCTGTTTGCATAAGATTGAAAATTTGTTACTTAACATATCCCTGTAAGCATGGTTTATCTTATTGCTCAAAAAATTGCCTTTTTATCTTTTCTTCTCTCAAAAATTTTGAGCAATTCCAACTTTATGGCATCTTGAGATGTTTGACATAAAATTAAGATTCTAAAAGAAATGATATCAAATCTGGGTTGAAAAATACTTGCTTTTTAGCTTTCATGGTTTAAGTAGTTGTTTGCAATATGATTCACCAATCATTTTTATGACAATTCTTTGGTTTTCTATACTTGTGTTTTCCATGAAGTTTTGCATTTTTTCCCCCTTAAATCTTGTTATTGATAAACTATAATTTGAAAATTGATGAAATTTTTCTTTCTTTGCTTGTGCAGATATTATAATGATCTGTATATCTTTGACCTAGATCAGTATAAGGTGCACATGGTTTGGCTGATAATTTGATGGTCAACTATTGTGATGTTCTGTTGTTATGTCTTAAGAGCAATTTTTTGTTGCATTGTAGTGGCAAGAGATAAAGCCTAAGCTTGGAGCAATGTGGCCAAGTGCACGGAGTGGCTTTCAGTTTTTTGTATATCAAGATGAGGTGAGTTAAAATGCCAATGGAAACTTATGTGTATGCTGGTTCTAATTTCTAACAGAAGTTTCATTTGGTACTTTTAATGTTGGTTTTTTTTTTTCAGTAATCTTGATTCTGTCCAAGATGTGCTGTAATTTGTGGGGCATATAATACACCAATTACTCAAATTTTATTTGAGCTGAGGATGAACTTATTTTATTGAGATTGTACATGTTTGATTGATTTGAAAATTGATGGACAAAAGCTCTGTGATGATAATTTATTACATAGGTCTCAATTTCATGATTCCTATTTCCTAGATTCTTGGAGTGAGAATTTGATACCTGTTGTAGGTCGATTGCATAGGTGATTTGTATAATTTAAAAGCTGTAGCACAAGTTTAAGTGTGAATCAGGATTCATTTTCACATGTATGCTCTTTTATTGCCTCAATAATGAAAATTCATTGATGGATGTCCAAGGTGGTTGTACCCCATTTTAGTATGTGATAAGGATCCATATCTTTGTTGTACAAGTAACATGCAACCATCTGCATTGAATAGTATAGTAACTTCTTCATGGCTTTTAATTAAATGTTTAATATAACTAGGAAATCAAATTAAAGCTCACTTGATTAGGACAAGCTTTAGTCTTTATGTTTGAGTTTGATGTGCGGAAATGAATGAAAGTTGGATTAATTCTGATAACTTTGCTTCATGATTTCTCTGAGGCTTTCCTGAATGAATTGTAACACATCTTACTCCTTGCTTCTCAGGGCAGACGTCACAAGGGGGGCTGTGGCTCCCCCGCTCCAAATTTTTTTTGAAATTTTTAGTGTAAAATAAGAAATTGAAACAAAAGTAACTTGCCCCTCTTAATTAATTAAAATTATTTTTTGGCCCCCCTTAACCATTTGGGTGGGTCCACCTGCTGCTTCTTAACTACAATGCTACTTGGCCGTTGACCTGTTCATTGTCATGCTTGCATAAGGTATTTGCTGACTGCCTAAAAGAATATAGCTCCCAAAAGCAGAAATTTGTTGACTGCTCTGGTCTTTGTGGCACTCTTGCAGCATAGGTCTTATTTTTATTATTTTTCTTAATTCTTAATATATCATCCACAAGTTATGATGGATGTTATGCTCGTTCTTTGACATTGTAGATTTTTTTATATGGTGGCTATTCGAAAGAGGTGTCATCTGATAAGAACAGCTCCGAGAAAGGTATTGTTCACTCAGACATGTGGTCGCTTGATCCTAGGACTTGGGAATGGAACAAGGTTGGTCTGTCTTCGTTTTCTACAGTAATTATCAAAAGTCATTTTCTTGTGATACTTCTATCCTTGTTCTTTATTTTATATGGTCAACATCTTACTCTTACTGCGTTCAATTTGGATGCGCTGTGGTTGTTATTTGATCACATTGTGCTATTTATACTGTCACTATTTTAAGACGTTCTCAATTCTAAAGCTGCAGACACCTGAAAGTGGAGCATTTCTTTTGATAAGCATAACATGATATCTCCTGAAAACTTCTTCTCTAAATTACTTATCTTGTCAAACGCCACTGTACCATTTCATAAAATACAAGAGCATGCCACTTTTTTATCTTTTTTTTAACCTTTTCTAACACCCACCCCTCTTTTTTAACCTTTTCTAACACCACACCCCCCCCCCCACCACCCCCCAAAAAAAAAAAATAAATAATAAATAAATAAATTACCTGTCCCATCAATGTTTTTAGTCTCAATGTAGTTTCCTTGTGATAGGTAAAGAAAAGTTGGGATGCCCTCCTGGTCCTCGTGCTGGGTAAAAAAAAAAATAAATAAATAAATAAATAAATTACCTGTCATCAATGTTTTTAGTCTCAATGTAGTTTCCTTGTGATAGGTAAAGAAAAGTGGGATGCCTCCTGGTCCTCGTGCTGGGTTCTCCATGTGTGTTCATAAGAAGCGTGCTTTATTATTCGGAGGTGTAGTGGATATGGAAATGGAAGGTGGGTTTCTTCTTTGGTGTGTTGTGTATATGCATGCCACTGCTTCTACATATATCTTCTTTTAGTTTCTACTGTTTAATGCCTAATATTTTCCAATGTGTCATCATGCTTAACATGCAGCTACATGTTTATGAAATTGTGCACATCTGAAGCAACATGTTATTTAATCTGTGATCACAGAGATGCATTTCATTTTTCTAGATGGATATAAGGTGAACAAAAGAAGTACATTTTGTTTGGCATACCATCCATCATTTCTCTGTTTTTTGGCTTTTTGCATAAGTTGTGGATGTGATATTCCATTGACTTTTTCGTCATCTTTCGTTGTATATCCTGAGGCCCGACTCAATATGTCCTGAGTCAGTTATTTTATTGCTTTAAGTAAAATCATTACTTATAATGAAATCGCCTGTTTGTATCAGTTATTATCCTGCTTTATTTCATTCAAATTGTAATTTATTCCTGTGGCCTCTGCCTCTTCATTTGTTTTCTCTGAGCAATAGTTATTTTATTTACTGGCGCAGGGGATGTAATGATGAGCTTATTCTTGAATGAACTTTATGGCTTCCAATTAGACAACTATCGCTGGTAATCCTGCTCGCTAAGTAGTTGATATGATACTGTCAATTCCTTAAAGATAGAGTGTTGCTTATAAGAATTCACAACATAGTAATGAGTTTTATGTTCATACCAGACTTATTCTGATGATATGTTTCTCCTCCCTATGATTATTTTGGAACATGATAAATGGTGTTTAATTTGGCATTTAGAATTAGAAACTTTGGGTAAGGTATTACATTGTTTCTTTTTCGCTATGGAAACTTATGCTTCATGTGGTACAATACATTGTATCTTTCTTCAATGGAAACTTGTGTGTCTTTCACCTTTTTGATGTAGGTATCCCTTAGAGCTGCGGAAGGAAAAGTCAACAAAAGATAAGGTACATTCATGAATATTTGTACTTGGAGATTTAGTGTCAAGGCTACTTAATATTTATACAAGGGGAAGGGCAGTACCTGAAATATAGTCTTACTATTGATATAAAAGAAAAGGATATTTGCTGGTGTGAAGTCTTGCTCCCCCTCTCTCTCTCTGCTCTTCTAGAATTGCAATATATTTTTCCGTGCTATCTATGGGTATTTTTTACCTTTTTTAAACTCTATTTCTGATGGCTTTTCATTTGATGCTAATTGAGTGCCTTCAATTGTTGCCTGCAGTTAAAAAAGAGTTCTGAACGAAGGTCTAATGAATCTGCTGCAGACAAGATGGATGCAATGGAAATGGTGTGTCCCCCAAATGATGATGATAATCCAGATTACCATGAAGAAGCAGCTGATACAGAAAGCAGCATTGATGCAATATCTCAGAGTATGAAAACAAACATGGTTATTCTTGATGGTTCTTTGGATGCCAAATTTGATGAAAAGCCTGAAGCATCTAAAGCTAAACTAGTTCCACAAAATTCTGTTTCGCCAGAGGTTTGTTGAAGTTTATTAGCTCATGCACTTAGTTCATTGGATTAGTGATTTATGGATCTAGCCTGAACTTGTAGACAGTGAAGCCGTGTGGACGTATAAATTCCTGCATGGTTGTTGGCAAAGATACATTATACATATATGGTGGCATGATGGAGAACAAAGACCAAGAAATTACACTTGATGATTTGTATTCTCTTAACCTCAGCAAACTTGATGAGTGGAAGTGTATTATTCCGGTTTGTTAAATTTTCATCCCTACTTCTAGTACCTTGTTGATTTGTGTTGTTCGAGATTGCACATCTTTGTATTTATTAGCCCTAAAATCATGACCATTTAACTTGAATTCCTCTTTGGAGCTTAAAGCTTGTCATTTTATTGCAAGTGACAATTATGCCCCAGAAGTCTTAAATCTAGCAATAAAATGCACTTTCATTCACTGGCTTTCATGTTAAAAACTTAAAATTATACATACTCTGTACAAGTTCAAAGACAAGGATCAAAGCTTGGTTCCTAGATAATCTTATTTTTTTGAGGAGTAAAAGGGGGCAAGAATGCAGAACCATGATTCAATGCACCTATAAATTTGAAGTTGTTAGATTGGACTCTTTCTCGATTTGAGATAGAAGTTCTTGTCTTCTTTAATTTGAATAGAGAACGATATGGTCCTAGGTAGATTTTTTTTTTCAAATTTGAGATTTTTTCAGTTAGCAGTTCCCAGTTAGATGCTTCCAATGAATATAATGAAAGTTTTGAAGTTGTTTTTGTGTTCAACTGTATTATGTACAATGCTTAATTATCAAATGGATCGCAAAGATTCTGTTTAGCAATATGTCATTTTATTGATTGCATTTTTCTTTCTTAACTTAGGCATCTAAATCAGAATGGGTGGATGCATCAGAGGATGAAGATGATGATGAGGATGAAGATGCAAGTGATGATGAATGCAGCAGTGATGACAACAGTGATGAGACTGATGATGACGACGAGGATGATGTTGATGATGCAGAGGTGTTTCTTCTTACATTCCCATTTTATCAAAATCAAATTTGTAAATGTTAATCCTTTTCACCTTCTTTGAATCTTTTGTGGTTGAGACTTGGGAGGATTACACATTTTCTCTATCTCTTGCTCAAACTTATTTTTTATACTATCCATGTTGCTTCTGTTTTATTTTCCCATCCTCTTTTCTTCCCTTTTTCCAGCTTGAATTTGGAATATGCAGAATTACATTATGAATTTGACATTTAGCTACATATCATAGTATCTAAAATTATCTTTTCCATCCTTTAATTTTCAATTGCTTCATTTTTTATATGTTTTCAGTCATCCAAATAAGCATTGACAAAATAGCATGCATCAAGTGTGTTGTGTTAGCAAGTCTGTCAGACATTTTTTCTATAATGTGCCAGAAACAATGGTTCTCCATTAATTAAAGCGACTTTGACTTTGTTAGCTTGCTTTTATATTTGTGCTAAGTTGGTTTGTCCTTTTCTTTGAATATAGACTAGGAACACTGGTGCTGCATCACTTAAAGTGGGAGATGCTGTTGCTATAATAAAGGGCGAGAAAAAAAATCTTCGTAGAAAGGAGAAACGGGCCAGAATTGAGCAAATCAGAGCTAATCTTGGCCTATCAGATTCACAAAGAACCCCAATGGTACTCTTTTTTATTGTTTTTTGGATTGTGATTCTGGATAGGAAAACCTTGACTTTAGAATTTCTGAGTCTCAAGTTCATGAGCATTTCAAAATTTTGTTCCGACTTATACTTTGATTTGCATTGACATTAATTTGATGAGTGCATATATTGGAAACAAAGGATTCATATAGCTGGCCCCAACTAGTTTGGGACTAACGCTTAGTTGTTTTTGATGTCTTTCACTGTGTAGCCTGGAGAATCTTTGAGGGATTTTTATAGGCGGACAAATTTGTACTGGCAAATGGCAGCCCATGAACACACTCAACACACTGGAAAGGTCTGTTTCCTGCTTAACTTTTTTGGTTGTGTTAATTTTATACTAAAGTTACTAAAAATCAAGTATATGCATATCTGCTTCTCTATAATTCCTATTGGTTAATTTACAATAATTCATATAATCTAAGCTCCAGTCACTCATCAAAGGTTATAATCCCAGCTAAAAGGACATTTAATAAATGGAATTTATTAATTACGTTGAATTTGATTGATTAGGCATACAAACCACTCGAGTTTAATTCACCTATAATTAGGATGAAGTTAGCTTTCCAATTTAGTTCACTTGCAAAGGACCTTTGCCATGCAATGGGGATCCTCATATGTGACTTATTTAAACTATGTTTGGGGAAAAAAAAAAGACAAGAAAGGGATGGGTGTTTTGCTTGGGGGAGGTAAGGAGGAAACATAAAGAACTGAAATAATCACTTGTGAGCTGTTCCCGGTATAATACTTCATGTTTTAGGAGAGGATTCACTGTTATGTGCTATCGTTATCACTTGTATGTGGGAACAAAAACAAAATGTAGAGAGCTGGAGGTGTTTATGAATGTCTATATGTGACATAACTATGGCATTGGCATTGCAGGAGCTTCGAAAAGATGGTTTTGATCTTGCTGAAGCTCGGTATAGGGAACTCAAACCACTTCTGGATGAGGTAATCTTCAGTTTCTATCACAAGGATTATATTATAGAAGCCTTCTACCTAAAAGATTTCAATCTAGTTACATTTGCAAAATTTCATTCTTGTTTGTGTGTACATTGCAGTTGGCTATATTGGAGGCGGAGCAAAAAGCCGAGGAAGCAGAGCCTGAAGCTAGTTCAAAAAAGAGAGGCAAGAAGAAAAACAGGTAATACAAATAGTGTCCAAATAGCTTTAAGCTATCAAATAATGTTGATAATTGTTCATTTAGTAATTTTGTTTACTGATACTAATTGTTTTCAAATCATCGCAACCCATGTTTAATATATCGTGCTTAATTCTACAATTTTAGCTTAAGCTATTTAGCTCCTATCTATATTAATTGCTATCCTTTTTGCCTCACTTCTTTGAACTAGTGTCAGCCTCTACTTCTACTTCTTCAGCTTTTTGTTCCTCTTCTAATATAGCCAACTGCAATGTAAACACATAAAAATGAGACTATGCAAATATACTTAGGTTGAAATTTTTCAGGCGGAAGGCTTCTATAGTATAATCCCTATGATAAAAACTGAACATTAGCTTATCAAGAAGTGGTTTTGAGTTCCCTATACCAAGCTTGTGCAAAATCAAAATCATCTTTTCAAAGCTCCTATAATATGCCAATGGTATATTACAGGAGTTTTGGAAAGATCATTTTGATATTATTCAAGCATGGCATAGGAAACTCAAACTACTACTTGATGAGGTAATTTTTATTTTCTATCATAGGGATTATTACACTGTAAAAGCCTTCTGCCTGAAATTTGCATAGTTTCATTTTTTGTGCGTGTATATGGCAGTTGATTACATTAGAGGCGAAACAAAAAGCCAAGGAGGCAGAGACTGAAATTAATTCAAAAAAGAGAGGCAAGAAGAAGAGCGGGTAATATAGATAGCATCTGAATAGCTTAAACTATAAAATAACATTGAAAAGTGATCATTTAGTAATTTTGATTGCTGAGGCGTTTAATATATCATGCTTAATTCCACTATATTTAAGGGCTTGAATTATCTCAAAGTTGGGAAGGAATTTTGATACATCCAGCGAATTATGGAAGTGAGAATACACTTGTTTATGGTTTACGATGAGTTACGAGATATCTGCAAGAATGATTTGGCTGTGTGCAAGTTGTCGTATTTAGTTAGGTTTGCATCCCTTTGCAAAGATGTGGATTGAAGGACCATGAATTTCGGACGGGTAGAGACAATCATCAATGCAGGATAAATGTCAAGGCTTGACAAGGTCTAAGTGGCTTCCCCAACTTCATCAGTGGATTTCATTGATAGAAAGCTATGGAGGAACCATTACAGTTTAGACCATTTTGGAACCGGACAGTGGAAATGTAAAATTTGGAATTGTATCTAATTTTCAAATGTTATCTTGAGTTTACTAATAAACCTAGTTCTTAAGCTTCAATGTTTTATCTCTAAAAATATCAATGCATGTGATAATGATATGCTCCAATTAACCTAGCCACGGAAATAAATAAGATCCACGTGGGCTTTGTGGCATTGGCAAACAGAAATTCCTTCTGGTCTATAAGAGTCTGTGCAAGACCACAATCACACATGGAGGAAGGAATGGGTGAAATGATGAGTAAAACATAGAATCAGAACTCTTAAAAAGAAGAGCCTTCTCTTCCATCGCTTTCCCCTACTGGCACTGGGAGGCCCTCTGCAGTCTGCTCTTTTATATGAGCCCTTTCTTTCTCCTTACTAAACTAAATAGTGCCAAAATTAAGCGTCTTGCAGTGTCTCTTTATCATTTCTTTCTTTCTCACTCTTTCTTTTCTCCTGTCTCTCAAAAGAAGAACCCACTGCAGCTTGAAGTTCCAACGACACCCATTTACAATTTATATATGCATATACCCTTCACGCATGCAACTTTAAAAATATTTGTATGACATCTGTAGGGTTTTAAAGTTTTCCCATCTGAAACAATTGTCCTATTGATTGGTACATATGGTACATGATACAAGAATTTATGAACTACTTTTGTAAATGGTTAAAAGAGAGAAGAACCAAAAAAAAAAAAAAAACTAAAATAAGGTTTATTTGTCATCGGAACACCCGAAAAAGGCAGTCCAGCCATCTTACATTACAGGCAAAGTTGCCGCAGGCATGCATGGAGCCATCTATTTCTATGGCCAACTTCTTTTTATTTATATAAAGAAAGAAATGAAAAAGAGAGGCTTTTCTTCGAATTTAAATTGTTTACATCATGGAATCTTGCAAGTAACGAGAGAAGAATGAAAGCTTTTGATTAGATCGATATGCATGCGCTTATAAAGTATGTATCTATATGCTCATAGCCTAATTAAGTATTTCATAATCTTGTTTAAAATTTGCACCTAACATACAATTTTTAGCCTCCATTCCACTAGTCAAAGTTCGTTGAATTCGAAGACACGATAATATAGGTGCTCATTGCCTAGCTAGAGCGTCCTATCGTTTTAATCGTGTTCATGTTTGGGACTCAGTGTCTGACTGTTTTATGAATTATTTTTCCTTGAGATAATATATGATACTTCTTCTCTTTCAAAAAAAAAAAAAAAAAAAGAGATTAATAAATGATACTTCTTCTTCTTTCAAAAAAAAAAAAAAAAAAAACATTACATTTTTAGGAGTTCGAAATTTTGTTTTAAAAAACAAAAAAAAAAAATAATAAAAAAAAAAAAAAAAAAACATACAATTTTTAGAGTTCGAATTTTGTTTTAAAAAACAAAAAAAAAAATAATAAAGAAAACTATAAATAAATGGTACCTAAAAGGCAGTTTTTTCGTAATAATCCTAATGGTAAATAGATAATTGGTTTTCTGAACAAGATAATTAGACTGAGCCATGTAAGATTTTGATTTGGATAAATAGTTAGATGATTTTGATGCCTCGCATACACAGCCAAAAGCCAATGAAATTTAATAGATTCTCTGAAAATATATCTTGTGATTATAAAAAAAAAGTGGTTTTAGATCATTCAAAGATATTGAGTTTGGAAGTTTCTAGCAATATGAGTATATACTAAATAGAATATATTGTGGGTCTAAGCCATTTCCTTCCTTTTAATTACGTATTAGTTGGCAAGCATCCACTAAATTTGAGAATTAAAATTTTCAAAGCTTGAACATACATAATTAATTAATGGAGCCGATTGAATAACAAGACTACCTCCATCTCAGCAGTTGGTGGTGTATATTTATACCCAAGCAAGACCCCCATAAATTTTGGACAATGATGCCATGCCAGCTCATCCAAATATATATATATATATCATATATATTTGTTGATGCCTGGACCTATATGCTCGAGATGACCAAATGTATTTATATCGGTCTCTATATATATAAAAATTTATGGGAAATTGGTACATAGATAACATGTATAAGTATGTGAAAATTGGCTAGTATATTACATTAACCATTGTCAAACTTATCGGTTGGATTCACAGAAATAACCTCTTTATAAAAATAAAGAGATGACAATTTCAAAAATTGAAAGTTAAAGAAAAGCTATATAGATCAATCTTCTCCGAAACTCATAAATGTTGAATGTTTCGTGTATTGAATCACCTTTATTATATTTTAATCATTTGTATAATAATTATTTCTGAATGGGGATAATTATTCATTTTATTTAATAATTTAATTAATATTAGTACATAAAGGATTACAACTCCATCTATGCGAAATGGATTATATTGGATTTGTGTTGCTGTGTGAAAAATTTTCATACCTGATAGATATATATACTTAAGGAATACATTAGATAATAGTCAACCTGTCAAACAGAATCTTATCGAGCATTCCTAATTTATTATTAATATATAAGCTTATGGTAGCAATTCCCAATAGAATATATAATTATGGGAAGACAGGTAAAGAAAGACTAAGGGTTTGCTTTTATATGCCATTAAAAACAGGACTGGTCTACCTGATAAGTCATAAACACTATCCTCCACAGCAAGTAAAACAATCCATATTTTCTCTTCCTAAACCAAAAGAACATGCATCTCCTAAGTTGTAACGCATGCATATCCCTTAAATCCAGTGGATTTGCCCTATAAAATCTAACATATATTCCTTTTTTCACTCCATATAACCTTTCTTAAACACGCATACTCACAAGAAAAAAAGGTAGAGAAGCAAAAATGGGAGCTGGTGAGCTTTGTCCAAGATTATCAAATTCTTGCAAGAAAATAGAGACAACCTTGAATGATACAGTGTCGAAGAGCAAGATTGGTAGATATTTCAAGATTGAAGCAAGAAAGAGCTCTTTTACAAAAGAGCTACGTGCTGCTACTGCTACATTTCTTACTATGGCATATATCATCACCGTTAATGCCACCATCCTTGCTGATTCCGGCGGCACTTGCTCCGTCGCTGATTGCTCTGTTACGCTTAACCAAACGGTTAGTCCAGATTGTGTACTTAAACCCAATGATGGGTATCAAAAATGCCTTGAAAAAACTAAGAGCGACCTTATTGTAGCGACCATATTGGCGTCTATGATCGGGTCATTTGCTATGGGAATTCTTGCAAATTTGCCTCTGGGTTTGGCTCCAGGAATGGGCGCCAACGCTTACTTGGCTTATAATTCGGTGGGTTTTCATGGATCTGGACCCATTTCATACGACACTGCAATGGCTGTCGTCTTAGTTGAGGGTTGTGCTTTTCTTGCAATATCTGCTCTCGGGCTCAGATCAAAGCTTGCTAGGCTCATACCTCACTCGGTCCGCCATGCTTTCGCAGCTGGTATTGGGCTTTTCATTGCATTCGTGGGCTTGCAGGTCCACCAAGGTGTGGGCCTTGTTGGGCCTGATCCATCTACATTGGTGACCGTCACAGCTTGCTCTAGTATAAATCCGGTGACCGGAGAATGCACTACAGGGAAAATGCGTAGCCCAACATTTTGGCTCAGTGTAGTTGGGTTCCTAATCACATCTTATGGGTTAACGAAGGAAATTAAAGGTAGCATGATATATGGAATTCTTTTTGTCACACTAATTTCATGGATTAGAGGCACTTCTTTCACATATTTCCCTTATACTCCACTTGGTGAATCAAATTACAATTACTTCAAAAAAGTGGTAGATTTCCACAAAATCAAATCCACAGCTGGGGCTATTAGTTTCACCAATTTCAATAAAACTGAGGTTTGGCTTGCTCTAGTAACCCTACTGTATGTTGATGTCCTAGCCACCACAGGAACATTATACACCATGGCAGAAATTGGAGGATTTGTGAATGAAAAAGGGAGCTTTGAAGGGGAGTACTTGGCTTACATGGTAGATGCAGGCTCTACAATTGTAGGATCCACATTAGGAGTATCACCAATAGCAACATATGTAGAATCATCAGCTGGGATTAGAGAAGGTGGTAGAACAGGATTAACAGCAGTAATTATTGGAATTTACTTTCTACTATCATTGTTTTTTACCCCTCTATTGAGTAGCGTACCTCCATGGGCAATAGGGCCTTCACTGGTGATAGTTGGGATACTAATGATGAAGGTGGTGAAGGACATAAACTGGGAAAATATGAAAGAGGCAGTGCCTGCTTTTATGACCATAATTCTTATGCCTTTAACTTATTCAATTGCAAATGGGATTATTGGTGGGATTGGATTACATATTGCTCTTAATTTGTATGGTTATGCTGAGAGGTCAGTTAGATGGTTGATCAAGATGAGAAGAATGGTGGTAAAAGAACAAAATCAAGTGTCTGGTGTAGATCATTCAGTTGAAGTTGTTTAAGAGTTTTCAGTTTGTGGTTAATTAGGTACTGTATAATTTGATATTTAGAACTATATAGTTTTGTTAAAACAGTGGATCCCTTAAAGCTAGCTCTAATGTTGGTAATACAATACATGGAATTGGAGAAAGATCAACAGACATGATATTATATAGTATTTGCAGAACTCGTGTCTGGTTTTTTACTCTCTTCTATGTTGCTATTGTCCAAACATCTATGTTTTCTTAATCCAACTGTCTCTTAATTCAAATTCGTTTATGTTATTGTTCTTGGCAGTGCAATGTTTTCTATCTGCTCATCTCTTAATCAAGGAAAAGGGCTTAAATGCAATCCAATGTCTACTTACCCACAAAAGAGAAGGTCAGTGCCAAGAAAACATAGCTTTCTTCCAATTAAGAATGCCAACTCAATCAAATATGATTCCGTCATATTACCCTATCTGCGACTTTTCTAGCTGTACAAGTTTCAGAAATGACAATAACATGGGATATCGATAAAAGCCATGTCCCTTAACATTTATTTCCTATTTATTTTGGTGGGTGTGTTAGTTGATCCAATGCAAGTCAAATTGGGTAGCTTTTGTATAATACAATGCACCTCCATTGTTGGACTATTTGAAGGTCTCTTTCCACATTCTCTTCATTTTCGAAATTGGCTTGCCAAGTAAAAATTTTTTTTTTTTTAATTTAGTATTCAAAAGTTACTCTCCGCTTTACATGGCTCTGCTCCTATTTTAATTAGAATTTAATTTCAACGTTCTTCATTTTCATAAATGGTTTTATTATCACAGAGAACTTATATTTGATAAGGCTCTCTATTAAAGAAAAAAAAAAAAAAGAGCATGCATGCAGAATTATTTTTGTAAGATAAGCAAATCTCAAAAATTAGCTCGATTGGAAATAAATAGGCAGTGATGATGATTACGTAGGTGGTGAAAATTGACTTTGTGGCTTTAACTCAGCCCATCAAGGCCCAATATTAACATTAAATATAATATTTTATTTTAGATGAATATTAATATTAAATTGAATTTTTGAAATGTTAAAAGACTAAAACATTATTAAAATATGAATTGGTGAAGGTGCTGTATCTTCCCCAAATCCTTTGACCAAAAAAAGATGGGTTTTGATTGGAAGAAGTAAGCACCTACTTCATCACTGCAAAACAAAAGCAATGAAAGCAGTCCAAGAACTGAGTCAAAAAGTCAATTGCCAAACGTAACTGTTACCAAGAAATAATAAAAGTAATTAAAATCAAATCCAAACTTCAAAACCCAGATTATGGTGTAACCGTGTAAGTAAGTATTTCTCATACTACCATCTTCTTTGACCTGAAAACAAATGGGCTTTGATTGGGAGAAGAAAGCACCTACTTTATGTTTTTATATAGTGTTTTAATGGGCAAATCATCATATGATCGAGTTGCCTCGTACAGAAGCTCACCCCTTCTAGAATCCAAAGAATTTTCCTTTTCTTGCCTCTTCGTTCAACAAACAAGAAACTTTCAGGGTGGAGTCCGCCAATTCTTTCCAAAACCAGTTCTTATTCCTTCTTTTTATACTTTTCCTTTGATCTTTTTTTTTTTTTTTTTTTTTTTTTACCATATACAATCAAACTGCAAACACAAAAACTAAACCTAAGTGAACCAAAGTCAAGTCCAAAAACTGAGATAATGCAAAAAACAGAATCCAAATATGCCAAAAACCGTAAAATAGTCTAAACAAAGGAAATAAATTAAAAACGAGAGTAACTTAGAAATCAAATCCAACAAGAACTATCCAAATAAACGACCCATAGATATGCGCATGTAAAACACAAGTGAGTAGTAAAAGTAATTCTGCAATCATAACCTACCATCTTCTTGACCCTGAAAAACCAACAATGCCCCCGCGCTTTTGATTGAGAGAAGATAAAGAGCAAAGCCTACTTTACTGTTATTAAACTTAAGCTGTTGTATCTAATGGGCCAAAAAATCCAATCATAAAATTGATCGAGTTGCACTCGTACAGAAGCTCACCGCGTAATACCCTTAAGATACAATCCAAAAAGAAATATATTCCACATCTTTCTTGACCTCCTTCGTATACAACAACAACAAAAAGAAACTTTTCGAGGGTGAACGGCAGTACGCCGAAATTCTTTCCAAAGCCACTAAAGTTCATTATTCCTTCCTTTTATAATACCTATCCTTTGAGATAAACCCTTTCTATATATATTTAATTTATATTTATTGTTATTTAATCTTTCTAATTGAGTACATTGTTCAATATAATATATTGTCATGTAGTGTAAAACAAGAAAGACTTAAAAATAATAAAAGCTGTAAGGAACCGGACAAGGAAAAACAAAGGGAGAGAAGATAGACAATACACTGGAACATATTATTAGACTAGCTAGAAAAAAGGGGCCCCTCCACTTACCAACAAAAAGAAACCATCTTCTCAAGGTTACACTCAGAAGGAACCTTACAAAAATACCCAAATCACGACTAATTGTGTTTGTGAGAGTTTTCCTATTATTCTCCATAATTTGGAAATGCTAAAATTGTCCACCTTTTCATCAACTATAATGGTAAGGATATCATTTATGGCTTCTCTCTCAGTCGCGAATTGTGGCACACTATTTTGGAAAATCCTCTGATTGTATATCAACATGCGTTGCTTTATTGGCTCTGTTCTTTTTTATGGGGTAAAAATATATACCTTTATCTACGGCAAACTAAAAAACTATATAAATTAATTGGGACTCTTTTCTAGGAAGTTATGCGCCCTTGATGTAATGGATTTATTATATGATATTTAATTTAAATATAAATATTGTGTAAAATTCTTATAGCCGTAATACAGCAACTTTATCTCCTTTACTACCACTCTTCTTTTAGAAGCGGCCAAATTCTGAAATATGTATAAATGCCTAGTTAAATCTAAATCTGCACCATTAAATTGCAAACGCGGGTTTTCTCTTCATCCTTCTTATAAGCCCTTTTTAGTTTATTCGCCTAAACAATCTTACCGAGTATAAGAAATTAATATTCCAACATCCTCTTTCAGTACTCTAGAAATCCGGAACTGATCCACATGTCACCCTTAGTATATACACCTCTAACAAATGTTGATCCAGTCTAAAGTGATTTTTATATAAGCCATTAACAATGATACAAGTATTCTTAGTGTATGTTACAAAGGAGCCCTGTGTGAGACACCGCAGGATTGGAATCGTCATAACCCAATAGTTGAAATAACTGTAGTATGTTAAGCGCTAAAGATTAATGCAAACCAACATATAAACTTCTCACAAACAACCTTTTGGAGATTTAAAACAATATATGAATTAAGCGTATTAGCGAAGCCGCGACCCCCTTACTAATGCCAAAACAGAAGGCGCAAAAGAGCCTGGATGAGTATCTATGTCTTCAAAAGAGAAAACGCATATGATTATACACTAGCAACCTGAGCAAAAACACCGTATTTCTCTCTCGCTGTTAACCCCTACCACAAATACTGGCAATGGAATAAAGCTCATAACATGATATAAACACTGCAACATAGTATCTAATTTCAAAAAGATTAACTAACCATATAAACCATTCATCTCACCAACAGTGTTTTTGATATCAGGTAAATCAGATCACTACACTAATGACCTAGAAGACTCAAAACTCTATAAATTAGAATTGGCACAAATGGCCCACTTAAGTTTTTTACAAGTTCACGCTCCAAACATTAATAACGCGCGAAACATGACATTCCACCAATTCTAAGAATACATATCTAGGTTAATGCCCCAGCATATGCGGCGCAAGCCCAAAACCGCTAATAAATTAAACAAATGAGCAGAAGGAAAAAAGACAAAAACAAAATTCAAAAAGAATTCCTAAAATGGAGTAACAACCCAAACAACACATATGTGTAAAAGAATCTAAACACTCAACGCTTGTATCCTAATATCAGTTAGAGTCTCACCGATGGCGACACTCTAAATAAAAACACCGCAAATATATAGTCAGGAAAATGGAGAAGGGAAACTTTTTCAAAATTAAATTAGATAGCAAAAATTAAGAAAACAATATAGGGACAACTATACAGTCAATTTAAAATCTATTGGATCTATCCACAACTATGGAGGAGATTTAATGCAAAGCACCTATTAAACGATTGAAGAAAACAATTATGATGATTACTGTTAATAATTGAAACAGGAAAAATTGGAAACCCTTTCCCAAACACACTTCGCTCGAAATGCTCTGACAGTTAACACTCACAGACAAAACACAACACAAAATAGATATACTTGTCCCTGACCAAATCATATTCCTGGTTCACTTGCAACCTCAATATCCATGATCATTGTCTCACCACCTACCCTATTGGTTGACCTATAAAATCACAAGCCTGTCTTACAAATATTACACCATCCCAGCCCCCGCTTAAACGCTCATTCCGATCGGTAGATTACCCAGAATGGAGCTGGACGTACGACTCCAACGCGGAAGATGTTCAACTCTGCCCCACACCCATAGTACACAGGACCGATGGTTCTGTTCCAACCGCACAGCGGACCCAGATGATACGAAAAAAGGCACACTATCCCAGAATCAGGGCACCTTAGCGCCGGACGAGGGAAGCCATAGACATCGCCTCGGATATCTAGCTTAGGAGCCTTGTCACCAAAAAACAGGACCTGGCCACAATGCCTGTCTGACTCCCACCACACAATGTGCAATCCACAAACTCGCTACCGTGACTGGTCCACACAAAGAACATCCCCGCTTTTCTATTCCTCGCTTATCACTATAAATCCGCGTCCACACCCCTGATTTCAAACTACAGTCAAATTATGACCCCACTGCCCTCCCAAATCCCTCTCTATACCCTCCCTACATTCATCCCCACCCTCCTTCCCAACTAGTTCGTCACAAGAGAGCACAAACATACCACGACATCCGTTGATCCATTCTTGAGCCCGCCAACAGGGAACGCTCCCTGAACACGAAGAAGATATGCCACAATTTCACAAAGCCTGACTTATGGCGTTCCTGGGAACCACGCCCTAGCCACCCCCCACCACAGTAATTCGCTGGTGAGCAGGCGTATGACAACACTAAAAAACTGCTGCCTTTGCCAAACAAGGACAGAAAAATGACATCCCACAAGACCCCAGTCGCTCCTCCATCTTGATATATTAACAGCACACTGACACCCCTAAGGATACTACAACTCTGCAGAGGCTTTGATTCATCTGACTGCATCATTCAATAAAGAAGGAACCTGATCTAACTCTTCGATAAAACCGAACAGAAGACATTCGGATCAATACGCAGCAGTAAAACACAATTGCTAGGACCACTATGCACTTGTACCATGTAGTCTGGTTGAGATTTTCATTATTGAAAATTTTATTTCTACTTGGATAATGGTGCTGAATAATATATATGCTTTCCGGTTCCATCTCAAAGCACAGACCCAGACATTCTGTCAATAGTACTCAGAAGCCATTGTCAGTGTGTACAACACCTATTGTGCTCATTTTTTTCCCGCACTTTATATGAGCGACGCCACATGGAACCAAGAGTAGAAAACTCCCTAGGCACGTAGATAGAAATTCTGAAAGTACGTGACCATAAGGTAGGCAATCCCAAGAGAACCCAACCCCCACCCCACCCACGTTCGATGCTCGCATACATATTTCCGCCCTCCA